TGGGGTAGAATTTTTTTAGTCATATGGCACTACTGCTATGTGTTAACTCTTAAATTCCTTCTTTCCATTAGCAGAGGGTAACCTGCTCCTACTTGAAAGCAATAAGAAGTAAGAGTGGTGAGGGAGATGTTAAATGGCTATGGGTGATTAGAGCGTATTAACATAATAGGAAGAGATCCTCTTTTTCACAACCAGTTCATTAAGCTTGAGGATTCATAGATATATAACAAAGTCATCCTCTTATGCTAATGTCAGACAAAATTTTCCTTTGTCAGAAAGATTTCCTTTCTGGTGCCAGATGTGCCATATTTTTGTTGTCTGTAGTTTTGGCAGCAAAAATACCCTGCGGTGTTACAAAAGAAGTTTTTTCAGCCAGAGCATGGTGATTTGCAGTATCTGAGCTGGGAGCTGTACCTGTGCTTTGTTCTTTCTCTTCCTTCCCCCTGCTTTGGGCTCTGAAGCCAGCTGTCACTGAAGAGCCCATGTACTTTGAATCACAGCAGAGTTCATGTGTTGAAAGAGGCTTTGGAGGAATGAGGGAAAGCAACCCCTAAGATTGGCCTTGTGTTGTGTGCAGCTTGGCTATTTGTGTCCTGTTTTTCTTATCTCCTTGCCCTCAATTTTCTTGGTGCAAGTCACAGATTTTGTTCCTGATGTATAAGACTAGCTATCACCTAGCTGTGGCCAGGGAACGTGAGTTCTATGGTTGTCACACTCTGTGAAGCTACCCTTTTAAAAACAGTGCCTGTTTTTTTGCGTATAGTTTTCCTTGTACTACTTTCCTGGCAAAATCATTAGCCAAGTGTTTTCAAAAGGAAGTAGAATCACACAGTATCTTTTCACCATAAATGGCAACAGGAGGTATTTGCTCAATCTTGAATGAGCTGCATCCCTTCTTTTCCCAAGTACCCTCCAAAATCAAACTGACTGCTGTTTTTCCAAACAAGAGCTGTAAAGGGTAAAACTGAAGAAACCCTTACATATATTAAAATAAGCTGTGAAAATGTACAGCGCTGCAATCTTATGGTAAAATTGTGAAATGTTAAAGCCTTGCACTGCTATCTCGTGGTAAAATTGTGAAATGTTAAAGCCTTCATCAGAGGAGCACTGAGTCAGTGCATGGTGCTATGTAATAAATAAACAACTAAAAGCATTTACAAGCTTCAGAAGAATTTGAAAATAGTTAACATTCAGTCTTTATAATTTGGCCTCTACATGATTGTATCGGTGCCTTCTGAGAAAATGCAATGATTTTAGACTAAGACCAAATAAAACTAAATAATGTCTCTAAAACTGGCTATGTTGTCTCATGTAAAACATCTGCAAGAAACTAAAGTTTGTCAGTAGGTCAGTTAAATTTTTTTTTGAAGTCTAGAAATTTGCAATATCAAATTTTAAGGAAGAAATGTTACATGACATGACCCCCTATGGTTTCTTAATGAACAAAGTGTTTATGGATTAGAACTTCTTTCTAATTGTTGCTGCCAAGTCAAGAAATATAAGACAATTTTTGTGATATTCTGCTTAAATTGTTGGTACAATATATACTACTGAACAACAGTAGCATAAGATTAGAGATCCCCATTTAAAAAAAAAAACTTTAAAAGTAGGGGAGAATGCTTGTGTTTTGAAGAAAGCCTGTTCAAGTTGCTATGGAGTCAGTCTTTTTAGCCATATATTTACTGGATCCTGGATGTCACGCGTTTGAAAAGGAATACTGGTTGCCTTAGCCAAGCTAGCTTCCAATTTTTGAGCTCTTTAGATGCAACAGATTTTGTATCTGTTGGTGAAGAAATACCTTCATTGCCCCCGTGCTCCAAAGAACATCAGCAATAGAAAGGGAGAGGTTTTTAATCCTGCTTTGTAACAGGTATTGAGAAATCAGGTCATACTTCAGGGACTAAATCAGAGTGTATGTGCATTGATATACAAGAGGTTTGCAAGGATAGGAGGAATGTCTTCAGAAAGGTTATGATACGTTAAGTTGCCTTTGTTTCTGTCCCTGGAGTATTCCTCAAGTTTTGAAGATTTCAGGCTTAATAATCCATCTTAATGTGCCTCTGCATTATTACATTCAATTTGCCCTAATAATTCTTTCATCTCTCTAGTGTATCTTCTTACACTGTTGAAGCTGTACCCTTGCAAGTTTATTACTACTCATATACCATAGACTTCTAGTTTTTGATACTTAGAGTCATAGTTTTCTGTTTAAGCACAGAACTGGTCTTCATACAAGAGATCAGCATAAACCTATACGCTGCTTAAATTTAGTGTAAATGCTATTTTTAAGATTTGTGTGATGGTGAGGCAGGTTCTGACCCCCTTAATTTCAATTTGCCAGCTTCACTTACAAATAGCAAGCACTGATCAGTAACAATGCCAAGTTGTTCTTCACCCTTTAATCCTGCAGGTCACTCTTTTAGGGGTAGAGGCCTGCACCTCCAGTAAATCTTAATGTCACTCACATCAGGAGGTCTCCTCACCAGCATAGGATACATCTGCCTGAGAACTTCAGAAACTGGCATCTAACTTCTGTGTAATCTTGCTGGGTTCGTAATTTATACATGCAATTACTGTGAATTATTTGCTTGCTTCCTTTTAATGTTTATGCAGTTCTGTGCAAGAAGGTGGTTTTATTCCAGTACATGAAACTTCCATTTCTACAGCACATATTTTGGATGAGTTGGCATTGCTGAAAAATTCCTTTTTGGAAATGATTCTGCTCTTTTCCTTCTGTAGTTGCTCACACATTTCTTTTTAATAAGCTGAGGCTGTTATACTGTATTGTCTTCCTTGATTACAGAAATTCATTTATTTAGACTACATGGAACAGACACTGTCAGTCTAATAAAGCAAAGAGTCAGTTGTGAGGGATGTGGAGTGCTGCTTAATGCTCTTTGTACCAGGGCTCTGTTGGAGGCAGCTCGGTCTGTTCTGGGAGAATTGCTGTTAGAGCCTCTACTAGCAAATTCGTATCCTGGTCACTGTTAACTCTCTTGTGAGAATTGTTCCAGCTCTTTTTTGTTATCTATCCTTCTCTGAGGCCTTGAACTTCTCTGATCTGCCTCAAATCTGTTTCGCTATTGGCCTAGAACAACACGTCTGCTTTTTTCCTTTCCCCGCCCTCCTTTTCTTGCATATCTACCTTCTCGATTTGCAGTGTTATGAATTATATCAACAAAAGGGATAACAAAAACATTATCATTTGAGTGTCTTTTTCTTTTTTTTTTTTTTTGTGCCTCTTTCCTGTCTTGTTACTTTCTTGTTTTTTCCTTTTCCTCCTTTCTTCTTCTTTTCCTTCTTTTTCCCATTACATGGATTTCTGCTTTGTCTTCCATGTCTATTACAGTTTGAGGGACAAAGGGATTTTCTGCAAGGCATTAGAGTAGTGAAGGAGCATGTACTTGCTTAGTGCTGCAGGTGTTTGAAGCTGTTTCACTGAGTAAACATTACAAAACAGAAGAAGAAGGTGAACCATGGCAGTTTATTACTGTACATGTGTTTGACCCAACTTCATGGCTATTTTCTATACAGCATTAGTCACTTACAAGAAGGTGCTATAGGAAGCCCTAAGACTGATCAATGTGGCCTGATGGCGAATCAGGCATTTCAGAGTAGTGAGTCCATAATACCGAGCTGAGTGGGTCTCAGTCAGGTCCCATATTTCCATTCTCACATGCATCAATGTCTCACTGCTCAGTGCCAAGAAAAGACCTACGACATAAGCCAGTGAGACAAAATTTTGGCTAGAAAAAGCTTTGCTAGAGAAGAGGAAAAACTTCCTCTCTAGGCTGCTTCCAAATTTACATTGAGCTCAAATAACCCTGGGACAAGCTTAACTTTTTTGCTTCCAGGAGGTTCAGTGGACTTGCTCAGTGAGGTGCTTTCAGTTTTTCTGATCACTATCCTTTTATGAATGGTAGTTTTTTTCCAGCCTGGCACTTTATGTTGCTGTAATACTATTTTGGATGATCTTGATACACCTTTGAAAATTTTGAGGTAGGAATAAGCAAAATGAAGCTATTTTCATGTATGGACAGAAAGTAGGGTTGGCATTTTAAAGGCAAGACGTAAGAGATCTGAACTCAAGCTAAATAAAACAAAAAGTGTATCCAAGTGACCGATAAATATTTATGACTTCTTACATTTGGTCATAATCACTACTTTGGCTTCAGAAGTGTCTTTGCTCAGGTCCTTCCTGGTCTAGTGTACCTTATAGGTCACAGTTAAATGATCTTGGTTCATAGCCTCTGAATCCAAGACAGAAGAGATCACTGTGGATACTGGAAATTACATATTTATCACAGATAGATTTTATTTTTAGGAGTGATTAATTTAACTCCAGCACTCATAATCTGATTTTACAGCCTCAAAATAAACCCCCAAAAACCAGCAAACCCTAATCCAACAGTTTGTTCTGTGATACATGTTGACTTCAGGTTTCAATCTTTCCCATCATCAATCCATTGGCCAGGAGAGGAGTATGGTGAACTCAAAACCATTTGATATTGACCATCTAACAATCTGAATGGTTTGTAGTTTCATACAAAGTGATGAATCCTGTATTCCTGTGACTTTACACTTTTTAACACATCAATCACAAGTGGTGACTTGTAACATATCTTAAGATTTTTATGTGAATTTAGCAGTGATTGAAGGCATTGAATTGTTGGTTACAAGTTATTGGGGGTTTTTTTTTGCATCTGAGCATGTGCACTTGGGGAAAATTAGTGTGAATTTCTGTGTGGTACTCTATGATATCTGTTAACAATTATTTAAGAGGATCCCTGGAGGAAGGACAGTTCCATTCCCATTTCTTGCTTTCTGCTTACACTACTTGCAAGGCAAAACAGCTATACTGGGTGGTTTCGGTGATTTTTTGCCTTCTGATAGCTGAAACAAGACCACTGACTCAAAATCAGTTTGAACCTAAGGTCCGTTAAAATTTGTTATGAAACTTCCAGTAAGAGATCCCTTTTGTTCTGTTCTCGACTTCACAGAAAAGAAGAGCAGCAAGAAAGCAGAAAGTGCACAGGCTGCCAAGTTAAACAAGACATTTGCACCCATCTTCCTTAAAGGCCTGACTGACCTCAAAGTAATGGATGGAAGTCAGGTGATAATGACTGTGGAGGTATCAGGTGCGTAGCTATAGAACAGCATTATTTAAAAATGTTAAGTCCTGCTACAAAGTATGTGCTTTTTTCCACTGTCCTTTTCTTTTAGCATGCCTTCAGTTTTGGAAATAATATTTCTAGGAACCAATTTTTTAAAAGTAAAAGCTAGGCTTGTCTAATCTGATCTTCATGGTGGATGAACATTGTCTAGTGTTAATGTATTGTCCTATACATGTATTGGAATAAAGATAAAAACAACAAGAAGAAGGTTATTATTGGGTCCTGCTGTCACACTAGAACTAAGTCTTAGTGGACTTGTAATGGCTTCTGCTGTGAACCAAACAATACTGAATTCCTGTCAGGTGGAGTAAGATTAGTGTGGCAGAAAAGAGCAGTGCTAGTACGACCTTTGGTAATAAAATCCTTGATAACCACTTTCTGGGATCTAGCACTGATTGTAGCCCTCTATTGTATGCATGCTTCCCTTATTCATTTGTATTTTAATTGTAATGTTAGACTTGGAACTGTTCCCCATTACACAACATCAACAGAGTTAATGAAATTCCTGAATCTTTTGAAGATGAAATTGCAAAACCAGGTGGCAGAAAACAACCAACCTTGTTCATTTTCTTAATCAGTATGTGGTGGGGTTTAGTGTGTGTCTCTGATTTTTTTGTTGTTTCCTATTTTTCAGCAAACCCACCTCCTGAAATTATCTGGCTGCACAATGGGAAAGAAATCCAGGAGACAGAAGATTTCCACTTTGAGAAGAAAGGCAATGAGTACAGTCTGTACATCCAGGAAGTATTTCCTGAAGACACAGGCAAATATACCTGTGAAGCCTGGAATGAATTAGGAGAAACTCAAACTCAGGCTACATTGACAGTACAAGGTATAAAGTTCTTCTCCACCTTAGGAAATGCTAAAAGAAAATAATCCTAATGTGCTGGAGGAGTGTCTATTTAAAGTACATGAGTGTTTATAACGTCTGTTGTGAAGGATGCTAGGAGTTCTCAGTCTGTGTCTGAATTAAAAAGGATATTGAGCAGAAGCAACTTTAAAAAAAATCTTTTCACTCTGGAACATTATGTTACTATTTAAAAAATGCATTCCTGAGTCCTATTCCTAGGGGCAGTGCAAAACTTCTGCTAAATACAGCTTCATATTATAACTATAAGGCTTACTTAGATATGGATTTAATGTAAACCATTTAATGATGTTTTTCTTTCTAATTAAAGCCCTGAGTATTTGGAAAATCTGTCTAGGAGCCAGGTATCCTGGCTTTAATATTAGCATTGTAGTGGTAGCAGGTGAGGAACACATGATTTCTGCAATTTGAGAAGTAGCTGCAAAAAATTTGGCTTTGAATCCCCACATATGATATAAATCCCACAGTAAACACCAAAGTACCTACAAACTTCCTGTGATTGGCCATTCGCTACCTTCATGACAGCGGACTTAATCTAATCTTACTGTATACCAACATTTTCCCGAAGTCATTACTGAGAATTACTGGAAATCAGTGGGAGACTTTTATTATTTTTAATGTAAAGGATCTTAACCCCAAGCTTTCAGAGAGCTGTGCCTCTAGGGGTGGGTCTGTTGTCTGTTGTCACTATCTGCTCTGAATTCAGATCTTTCTCTGTTCTCTAAGCTCCCCTGAGATCTAGCCTCAGGGTCAGTTTTCTACATTAATTGCAATTTTATGCAGTTGTTAATGGTGATTTATTACATAAGTTCTCAACTGCACAGCAGTCACAGTACTGTCACTTGCCCTTAAAGCTATTCCTACCCATATTCTCTAAGGACAAATCTTCAAGATTCCTTTTAGGGCAGCTTTAAAGTTCCTTTGTTTTGCTCTAAATAAAGGCTTGGATTGAGTCAGTAAAGTGACAAGTAAATGTTTAATTTTAGTACCAACACAAGTTAATTTCAAAATTAAAACCTGACTTATTTTCAGATTAAAAATTTATACCCTGCATCTTCAAAATAGCTTTGCTTGTCTGTGATTTGCTTTCCCTGAGATTAGTTAGTTTATTAGTTACATTCAAGCTCGGCATTTTCTCCCGATTTGTAAACTGTGTTTGTATACTACAGAACCTCAGGATGGTATTCAGCCCTGGTTCATTAGCAAACCAAGATCAGTGACGGCAGCTCCTGGGCAAAATGTCCTTATATCCTGTGCCATTGCTGGAGATCCTTTTCCCACTGTTCACTGGTTTAAAGATGGGCAAGAAATAATGCCAGGAACAGCATGTGAAATCCTGCAAAACGAAGACATCTTCACACTAATCTTGAGGAATGTGCAATCTCGTCATGCAGGGCAATATGAAATTCAGCTCAGGTATGTTTGCCATGAAAAGAGCTTGTTCCCTTGTACCAATTAGTTATATTTACCCTCAAGTTGAAATTCCCACCTGAAAAAGACAAGAGTTCCCTCCTAATCACACAAAACTGTAGGGTCTTAAAGGAACAAAATATTTCTGAGGGATGAAAAGAATTAGTAAAACTCAAAGAGGAAAGAGGAAATACAAGAAGAGTCAGAAAGAAGTACAAAGCCTTATAGAGTTTCCTTTTGGGATCCTGAAACACAAAGCTTTGCGGCAGCAGTATGGGCAACAATTTGGGTTTCTAGCAAGGGAAACCACAGGCAGTGTCTTGATTTTGGAGCTGTTGGTTATCATGTTTGTCATCTCTCTGGATATTTGTAAGGATGGCTGCTTTCCATGGGAACAACCTGGCCAGGAAGGGTCATTCCACAAGGTTATGACCCGTACCTTTAAGGGGAGAAAGTGTTTCCTGGCCATGTTTGAAATGTCTGAATTTTATATGGAAGTTTTAGTCTCCTTTTTCTGAGATATCTTTGAAATGAGGCACCCTGATGCTTTGAACTTACTGTCATTCCTACAAAATTTGGAAGAGCTGTTTTGAATTTATATTGTTTTCTGATAAAATAAATGTCCTTTCAGTGAGGAATTAGATTTTTTTGGTTCTTTACCTTGTAGAAAATGCCACAGCATTTTTCACCTCCAATGGCAAAGATTGGGTGTAGTTATATATCCCCTAGGTGGTTATAGAAAACTTAGTGCACAACTTTAAGACGATGTTATCATTCTCTGCTATTTACTGTGCATAGGTGTATGGCCTTTCTTGGCTAATATTTGTGACATTCTTTATTAAAATTTATTTAACCATCATGGTCATTTGAATCCATTACACTGGAAGAAAATTATCTGCTCTGCTCCACATAATAGCATTTTAGTCCAAACAGACTAGTCCAGTAGGCACTTTAGACAGATACTATCCAATATTACAAAGTGTTAGCATTGCAGTTCTGCACTGCTTGCCTGGTTTATGGTGGGTTTTGTCTTTTTTCATGCTATAAACAAGTTAATTTTGTTTCATATACTTCAGTCTAGTACAAAATTTTAAAACTGAATTGTCCTGTACCTGCTTGTGAATAAATTACTCCTGTCTTCCTAACCCAAGGAGGAGGGCATTCCTTAATGAATTTAATCCATTTAGTCTCTAAACAATGAATTTAATTTTTTTGTAGTTATAGTTTATTTTCCAGCCAGTGTTGCCCAAATGACAGACGTATCACTTTGTAGTTGCCTAGCTCTAAGGTATGCTTCCATAGACTCTCACATGCAGCCACAAACTAGCCTAAGTGTAGTTTAATATTTAAAGTCAGATGAGGCACTTGCTTTTCACCAGAAAAGGGTGCTTTGGAAAATTATAGCTGTTATATATCAAGATTTCCTATAATGAGGTTTTTCTACATTTATTTTCAAGTCTTATTACTAACATTTGTGTTGGTAGAGCCATATGTGCCATGACCTTTTTGCAAATTAGCTCTTCAGTAGATTTAGACCATTTTTACTCTGCAGTAAACTGTGAACTGACTCATTGCAGAACAATTGGCTTGTTCACAATCAGCTAAGGTCATCTAGGGCATTCATAATGCTGATTTGTGCAGGTCATGTCTGCATACATCCTTGTATCTAAGAAAAGTCTCTTTGGGGATCAGTGGCATTTCTAACACTCAGTACATCTGGCAGGATTAGAAACACCAGTTCAGTTTCATGAAGGCCACTAACCTCTACGTGAGAGAGCAGGCCAAATTCTGAGATTTGCTACCTTCTGCTGGTACATTTCCACACTTGGGTTTGTGTGCCTTGGATGTGCGCATCTTCTCATGATATGCTGGTGGATTCTCTTAAACTGAAAGAGAATGAGATATTTAAGCAAAACTTCAGGGGTGATAGAAGGAAGGAGAACAGGAAGAACAAAAAGAGCCAGGAGAGCTGTGTGGAAGACTTTGTTGTGGCTGACTTGAGTAAGTTGGCTTTAGTGATCAGGTGTAGTTGGTGATCACCCAGGCCAAATTTGTCACTTAAGACATTTGTCAAAGTGGAAGACGGACAATATCATGACTCTAGAACATAAAAGATTGTACACTTAAAAAATAAATTATTTCAGAAAATTAGCAGAGAAGAACAATTTTTTGAGGGGTGAGGAGAAGTAAAGTTGCAGCTAGAAAACACAGCAGATTACACGCTCATTTCAGTTATTCCCTAATCCTTTTACTGGAGAAATAGCTGGGGATCCCACAAAGATCAGTACCTTCATGATGGCCTTTTCTAATCCATAGGGAGTAAAGCCAAGATGCAGTTAGAGCAAGGGGAATGCAGATACCTCTTTTTACCCTGCTGTCATTTGTAAAATTTCAGTTACTGTTTGGGGAACAGAAAGCCTTATGCTTTTAGGCAATTGCTTATATACTATGAATAACAGAGATGTAACTGCTTCGGGAATATCCAAGGAGCCGAATGTCAGCTGGATGACTTCAAGTTTGCAGTAGAGCTAAAATAATGTTCAGCAGCAAATAGTCTTGTGTAAATAGCATTTGAACTGCCTGCATTTGTCTTGAATACTTGATTGAGAGTTGTTTATATATTCAGAAACAGTCTTAACAGTACCTGAGAGGAGGACAGCTGCGTTTAGTGTCTTTCAAAAACTTCTACAAAGTCCATTAAAAATATGGAATAATCAAGAAACCACAAGTCAATTCACTAAAGAGTTTATAGAGAAGTTGACAGTGGGCTATTTTTAAACGTGATCATTTTCTTTTCAAATGTGCAGCTTCTTTTCATGTGTTAATTTTAGAAGCATGTTGCATAGCTGCCTTTAGGGAGTCGTGCCTTCTCCAACTCCCTTAATTTAGTCTGGGCATGGTTTCCTACCAGTGTTAATTATTTTCCAGTTTTCTTCTCCATTATTCTTAAGCTCTAAATTCTGTCCTAATACCTCCACAGTTCTCTTTTTGTGTTGTCTGCTCACAAATTAAAACTCCGGTCTTAAAAATTTAGATTTAACAAAAGATCTATTTGCCTCTTCCTGGTTCTTTCTCCTTTGATCAGAGTGAGCTGTCAAAGGTGTGTAGCCCAGTGCGATCCTCATGTGATCCATCAATGTTTGCGTCTTGGCTTTCTGTCTTTCCTTCCCTCAGCATTATTTAGAATATGTGTTTGCTTTGCCTTTTACTATATAGCAGATGACTAAATCTAACTTTTAAGAAGGTAGTCATTGTAGCCTTTCCTGGTCCTTGTTTTAACCCCCCCCCAGACCTCTGATTCCTTTACACTTGTGTTCTTCATTTTAATTGTCCTAGTAATGTTCCATTGAGCCTGTTACTTCCCAGGCCTGAAGGAATGGTGTTGAATAAATATGAAAAGAACAACAGATTTGCCCACTACTGTGGTTCATCTATTGAAATTTGAACATTTTGCAGCCTGTAAAATGGCAGCCCATGCAGTGGAGGGATAAGAAATAAATCAGAGTCCCTGTGAAACCAGCATGATTGAAATGGGAATTAACAATCCTTTTTTGACTCAGAAAACCACAGATATTTTTCCTCCTCCTGTCCTTTGCATCCTTCCAGTGATGTAAGCACTGGTATCTTTTTAACCATGTATGACTTTCCCATGTTCTTTCAGTCATTGTGTAGACTGTAAATGAAGAGGTAAGCAAAGAAATGGGGAGTACTGGACAGAGGCTGTGCATTTTAGGCAAAGCCTTTATCTTTATAACAGCACAGTCAATATGAGAGATCTCAGAAATCCTCCTGCAGATCCTTAAACAAATCATCTGCTTTGTTAAGTTTTGTCTTCTCAGATGAGTTTCTCTTCTCCCCCACCCACTCCATCTTCCGTAAAAGTTTTGTTAGTGTTGATTAACTTTATTTAGAGATTTTGATAATCTGATTAAAATCAGAGGTAAACGTTCATCTTGTAAATCAGTGGTACTTCTATTACTCTGAAATTCAGGTTATATAAAAATCAGTTGTAAGATTACATTCCGTTACCAAACAGTAAATATAGTTCTGTCTTTCTGTAAAATAGTTTGCAAACCTAGTTTTCTGCTATCAACACATTGTCTATTTTTAGGAAGGAAAACCATGACCCCTTGCCATTCCATTCTCCCACTCAGTGATGTAAAATGCAAATAAAATGGTTGGTCTTTCGGGTACTAAAAGATTTTGGCCAAACCCTCAAGTGAGGTAAATCAGTGCATCCTCTTTGAAGCCAGTAGAGCTGCTTTACTTTATGTCAGCTGAAGTTGTGATCCAGTAGATTAGTTGCTTTCTTTGGGGTCAAAGCTTCATGGAGTCTGGACTTTCTCTCCATTTAACTAACTCACAAAAGAGTTGCAAAACCTCATTCTGAGGCTTTACAGTCACCTGCACTGAAGCACCAGCTATACGTAGGGTTCAACTTCTTTGACCCTTTCAGTTCATTCTTAAAAAAATGTAATTTACTCTGCAATACTTGTTTCATACTTGATAGGCCATAGGAATTTTCAGTGTGTCCCCCACTATAAATAACAGTGCTTTTTTTTTTTTTTCTCTTCCTCCAGAGAGTGCTTTGTAGGGACACACAGACAATAAGTCTCATCTCAGGTTCAGTGAAAATATTTGAGTAAATTCTGCCAAGAAACTAGTATTTCAAGATATTTTGAACATAAAAGCCATTCCAGGGAAAACTGATCCCACAATAGGACAGAGAGCTATTTTTAAAATTGCTTCAGGCTTTGCAGCTGGGGTTTTATTTGTTTTTGTTGGGGGGGGGTGGGGGTGGTATTATTATTCCTTGACATTTTAAAGATAAGTCCTGCATAGGTTTTATTCTTGTCTATCGTTATTCCACAATAACGCTGCTAAGAGCCACTACGATCTGTCTTTGTCTAGAGTTTTGTTGATAAAATGCCAACATGGAGAACATCCGTGTTGCAAAGTAATAATGTTATTGACAGGATTCAAAACAGCAGAGAAGTGAAAGACTTGAAGTAGTGCTTGTGTACTGCAAAGATCTATCTTTATTAACTGCCCCTATGTATCTTGTCTTGCTTAGATTCTGAAATTGCATAAATGTAAAAATATTTACAAAGTTTATTCTTGATTGAATTTGGTATCTAAACCATCCAGTCCTCCTTAATTTTTCTTGGCTTGTTTCTCTTTTTCCATTTTGTGATGTCCAAGGTGGGTCAGTGTTATTAACTTCACCTTTTTAGACTCTGCAGCTGAATTCAGAAGACAAAATTATTTTCTCCTTGCTCCTAAAATCAGTAACAAAACTCACTTTGATTTCACTGGGAGCAGGACTTGCCCTGAGAAGGCTACACTTTTGAACAGGGATATGATGAATCAAACACAGACTTGAGGTTTGTGTCCAGTGGCCTAGTTTTCAACCATTCACTTGAGTCAGAAATCATAATTAAGATCAAAAAGCTACCTTGTGAATAATTTTTCCATCTAGGTACTTCTATGCCACGCTGTTGCCATAATTTGTAAGTGCTTCACAAGGTTTTAAAAATAGAAGGAAAAAAAAAAAAAAACAAACAACGCTCTCCTGCTTTCTTACCCCCTCCTTTATTTTCCAAACCCTGTGAAAAATAGCTTAGTTAGGAGAGGTTTACTTTGCCTTCCTTATTTGCTTCTTTGCATGTGTGAAGAATTTGCAGAGGAAAAAATGCATTGCAGAAATGGGTCCTGCAGAAATGCTATTATTCTTCACAATGGTCAGGACCACATTCAGTATCCCTAGATCCGTCTCCTGGGAGGGTGATGTCTCTGTTGCTTTAACCTCTCCCACTGGTAACACAGTTCTTGTGGGCGAATATTTTTGCCATACAGTCATGACAGAAGCTGAGCAGTGGTGCCTCCCTATTTGATGTATGCTGTAAATTGTCTATACTTCAGCTTGCATGGTTTCTCCTACTTTGTCAGCTTTGGATTGGTTTTAAGTCCTAAAGGAAGAGTAGCTGAGCTCTAGGAGACTTACAGCAAACCAGCAGGCTGCTAGCAGCCCTGTAGCAACTGGTGAATGAGAAAGTACTTGAGCAGTTTCAGAGTGTGTCTACTTTTCTTAAAAGTTTCTGAGAAGCATGGAAAAAAATAATGAGTTTCAACAGTGGCAAAAGGGGCCAGTTTGAAATGCACTGCTTGAAGACAACAGGTTTTCAGCAATATTGGTACCCTGCCACAATTTGATGCCAATCAGTATGTTGGGAAGAGGTGACATGCAATTCTTTCTATTTATCTTTCTATTTGTCCTTCCTTCTTTCTATTTCTCTTGCTTCCAAATGGAGATCCCACATAAGAGGAAGTATGAATGGCAGGTCTCCAGGACTGAGTTAAATATTCTCTGCATTGACTTGGATCCTCTCCTGCCATTTGGGTAGTTTCTTCTTGGTACTCAGATGTTCTCTAGTCTTTTTATATTGAAGAAAATTAGGGTTGTGGCTTTCAATGCTGTCCTTATGGATTGCCTTCAATAACAGTTTCTGATGTACATATTCTGACTTGTTGGATATAAAATGTTGGAAATGTTTCTATGGGTTCTTGTTAATGGTCTTAAGGTCAAATAAGATGTATTCCTACCAGCAGGGCCTTTTAATTCAGTCAACCTCACCAATTTCTTCCTGGTGTTAAAGGCTTGATTTTCATATTAGGTTGATCCACTGTTTGATTTTCTAAAGCAACAGAAAGCAAGGGAGATCCCTCTAAAAAGGTGATGGCACAAATTGCCATTATAAACACATAGCTTAGTGCTGCATCTGTGTTAATGTTCTTGCCTACTGTGTGACTTCATTGCCAGTTGCAAATGGGTGGAATTATAGTTCATTCACCCAAACAGAACCATATCTAGGAATGTATTTTCACGCGCTACTGAAAAAACGGGTCAGACCATACATTTATGTACAAACTAACAGAAAGGCACTCCAGAGTCTGTGTTTTAAACTTCAGGGCAAAGTGGAATTGAAGGTGCTCTTATCTATCAAGTCTTCTGGAGGAGAACGCAGCAGGGAAAACCCGCCTCTCCTTCCTTCCTCCCCCCAGCGCACATGTGGTTTGTTCATGTCCAGGAAATGTTTTCAGGAGAGAAAATTATTTTTGTTTGAAACAGAAAAATCATCCAGGAGTTTGTAGCCCATTTGCAAGCTTATACTTAAAATGAGAAGGACAAAAGTGTTTTCACTAATAAAAGATATGTCTAGTCCTTAATCAATTCCAGTCTGTTTTTTTAATAGCAGTTTAGGGAAGCGGTGGCAACAGTTACACAACTGCTGCCCTGGGGGAGTTAAATTTTGCTTTTGGCATCTCCTGTGTTAAGTGGAGAAGAGCTGTTTGGGGCTAAAAGAATGATATATATCTGCAGGAGGGAGGGAGCAGTGTGGGTGGGGGGAGCACTTTAAATGAATTCTTTAATGGAAGCCCTTTCCAGAAGGCATCCGTGGTATTCCTCTGCAAAAGGAAGAATAAGTACTCAGTACCATATATGGTGACACTTTTATGTTTTTTAATATAAACATGTACAGGCTGGAGCAATCCATGTAGATGGATTTTGCTGATTGGTTGGGCTGGGGGGGAGGGAAGGAAATGAGACCCTGCTTTTAATATCTTCACATTAGAAAACTTAAGGGCTTGGGTTTGAATAAATAAACAGTAGACAGAGTTGGAAAGATTTTCAACTTTGCAAAATAGACCCTTCCTCTGCCTAGATTTTCCAGCTTTTGTATTTGTTTTCGTTTAGCAAGTTTGTTTGCAGCTGTTTCATTCTGTAAATTGCTTTGATTTTGTTCAGGGAGTATGTTGTTCCCAGTGTAGACAGCAACAGATCAGTAAAAGCTACGTGAGATAGCTTGGCTCCAAATATAAGGGGACTCAGTCAACCACCACAGTGCTGGGCATAGGAAAGGAGGATGCCACACTAGGTTTGAGCTGCTCTAGTGCAACACACAATCACTTAGCTTGGGCAAGTTACAGTTTTGGAGGGAAAAACCTCTGCCTTTCTGATTTCACTTAAATATTTCAGAAACCAAGTTGGAGAATGCAGCTGCCAGGTGTCTCTGATGCTGCGGGAGAGTTCAGCTTCCAGAGCAGAAATGCTCAGAGAGTGAGTATTTTTCCCAGGGACTTGCATGGGTGGGTTCTATTTTTTGCTCCGTTAATTCCCTGCCCTTACAGACCCAGGCTGGCTGCTGTTCAACCTAATCCCCAAATGTGACCCAACAAATTGTTTTCATCATACAGGCTAAGCACATAGTACCAAGCCAGAGTAGAGAAGATCTTTTTTGTTTGTGCCCTTATATGGCTCCTGAAGTCATCATTGATGCAATAAACTAATGGAGTGTGCTCCTCTAATCAACCTCCCCTTCTATAAACACATTTTGTTCCTGCTCTGAGATTGTTCCCTGACATTTTTAAACCAGCCCCTTTCTTGGCTCTCTCTTTTCTTTTTTCGGATCATAGTGGGAGGGAATCAGCCAGCTCTGGAGAGCGAAGAGATGGTGGAGATCATGGTAAACTAACATTTGGTAGAACAAGTGGCTTCAAAAAGAACAGCAGTGAAACCAGAGCAGCTGAGGAAGAGCAGGAAGACGTCCGAGGTGTGCTGAAGAGGCGAGTGGAAACTCGGGAACACACAGAGGAGAGCCTGAGGCAGCAGGAAGCTGAGCAACTTGATTTCCGTGACATTTTAGGCAAGAAAGTCAGCACCAAAAGTTTTTCTGAGGAGGAACTGAAAGAAATCCCAGCCGAGCAAATGGACTTCCGAGCAAACCTGCAGCGGCAGGTCAAACCCAAGACCTTGTCAGAGGAGGAGAGGAAAGTTCATGCTCCTCAGCAGGTGGACTTCCGCTCAGTACTGGCCAAGAAAGGCACCCCAAAAACCCCCGTGCCAGAGAAGGTGCCACCTCCTAAACCAGCCATTACAGATTTCAGATCTGTGCTGGGCTCAAAGAAAAAGCCACCTGCAGAGAATGGCAGTGCTAACACCCCAGCACCAAATGCCCGCACCAATTCTGAAGCCCAGAATGTGACCCCCAATTCTCAAGCCCCTGTTGCCAAACCAGCAGTCAAAAAAGAAGAGAAGAATGACAGAAACTGTGAGCATGGGTGCGCAGTGGTAGATGGCGGAATAATTGGGAAAAAGGCTGAAAACAAAGTAGCAGCAAGCAAACCACCAGCAAGCAAAGGAACAGCACCTTCCTTTACAGAAAAGCTTCAGGATGCTCAAGTAGTAGACGGTGAAAAATTGGTCTTACAATGTCGGATTTCCTCTGACCCCCCTGCAGCTGTCACCTGGACTCTAGACAGCAAAACCATCAAATCATCAAAGTCCATTGTCATCTCCCAAGAAGGTAAATTAATTGAATTACAAACCATCTTGATAGCACACTGTTATATGGCTCTTGATTAATAATATTTAGTTCATTAAAGGTAATGCAGTACTTTATTTAAGTCCTGTGCCAGTAACTGTTTCCAGATGCAACTTTCTTGTTATTTCAGTGGAGTACACAAGGAACAGTATTGTTTGACATTTCTTGCAGATTCTCCTTTAACAGCCTGCAGATGTAACTTTTATAAAGTTGAACTCCTTGCATTTTTAAATGCTGTTTACATTGCTAACGCTGTTTAAGGAGCTGGTACATGACGTTTATTTAGGCTGAACTTTAAGGATTTAGAACATTGAAAACAGAATAATATTATTGCTGGTTTACAAATTCTAATTTAATTCTTCTGTATGTTTAATATTTCAGGCTTTTTATTGCAATAAGAAACACAGAAGCAAAGAGGGGTTGTGTAGTAAATTACTACAACTTCAAGTTACATAGTTAAGATCAGAGTTGACAATTTGTTTCCAGTGTATTTAATGCACCACCACAGATGCTTCTGTTGCCTTTACAGACACTGAAATATCTGAACCCCACTGGCCTGACAATTTTTAACTGGTTTCAAAACAGAGTTTGGTAAAAGTCCTCAGAGAGAATGCTTGTTGTTGTTGTCAAATTGAGTGATTTCTTTATATTCCACATCCTGGATAATCAAACCCTACTAGACTACTTTTGTATGAAAGTTAATATTATATTTAGACTAAATATATTTTCCTTGGGACAAAAATAGGGAGGATAACTGATAATACAAAAAAGCTTCTTTACTTCATATTTGTTTCATAAAACACAGAGAAAATTATACAGAGAATGATGCCATCCTACATGTTGTAGTAAAAAAGTTCACGTTCACAGTAAGAATTATAGCTTGACACTGGCGTCTGCACTCAATTGCAATCTTCCTTCATTTAATCCAGACTATTTTCAGTGTTATTAAATGAGAACCAAATGAATATGCATAATGGTTCACCACAAACAGTGAATCCTTGTGCACTGTTCCAAGCACTGAAACATGAGGTTTCTTTTAAAGTGGATGCAGTCAGAAACAACATGACTTCACATAGGGTGGGGAAAAAAGAAGGTACCTGTATTAAGGGAATACCAAAGTAAGTAGATGGAGAGATGTTAGCAGGTGTGTTGTCTGGTGTGTGTCTGAAGTAGCATTAAAATTTTATTTATGAGTACATGATGGCTTTCACCAGAGGGGACTGTATAGAACAGGGTTAACTGTCATATACATGACAAAACGTTGACTGGTGGAAATGCCATCCTTGTAAAAAGTGCTGACAGAATCAGCAAGGTGGGAGGCTGCAATTTAATCAGCGTTACACTGGAAGCAAGATTTCAGAGGTTTTCTTGGAGTTACTCAGAGTGAAAAGAAATCATGCATCTCAGAGTTTCTTGTCTCCTATCATAGTGCATCCAACAGACAGCATCTCTGCATCAAAGCTTCTGAGCTATGATAGAGCCTCCTAAAAGTTTTGAAGCTTTGGTGTTGTGGTGCTGCAAAAAGATGTTTTCTTGATTGAAATAATTGAGTAATTGACTGTTACAATCCCCCAACTCATAGTCTGTTTATAAGATGGTACTGTGGAGCTGAAAATCCACGGTAGTTGTGTTTACAGTGAAGTGATCTTCACATACAGAAATGCTCTACCACCTGCCTGAGCAGGGCGTGCAACTTATCCCATACAGTTTGTCTGGGCTAGATGACACTCTTTGTCATAACACCACAGAGCTGGCATTTTGTCAGCAGGTCACACTTTAGCTGTGCTTCCCACTGAGGTAAGGAACGAAGGTCACGACTGGAGGAGGACTCCACTGTTTTAGGACAACTTCTTGCAGTGGGTGAAGAAACTACCCTTATGTTTGAGTTGTACCTGCATTATTACACTACTACCATGCTTAAGTAGTCAGTATTACCAGCACTTCAAAGTTATGCTTTCTTTTGCACGTATTTACAAAGGATCTTAGAAAGAAATATTACACAGGGAAGTAAATGCTACAGTTTTCTCCTTTAATGGAAAGAAATGGAACGAGGATTAGAACTACTTTTTTTAAACCTTATTACATACCCTCTGGTACACTGAGGGGATGCATTGCATGATGGTCAATTTAGTTTTTTTCCTGACAGTACCTGCTAGTTTTGGCACTTGGAGAACAATGTGTTGCTGCTCTCCCACTGTGAGATGCTTTCATGCCAACTGTTAAGCAATTAACTAGGTATGCATGATACTTACTTTAAGTTCCATTTTTCTAAGAGATTGATTTTTCTGTTTTTCCCTAACTAGGAACACATACATAGTTGAAGGAACCAAGGGAGTAGAAGGAATAATTAAAGCTACAGATTAGAACTGAGAAAGAAAAAATTCAGGATTAATATCAGGAAATACTGTTCAATAGAGAAACTGTATGGATTAGTCTCACAGGAAACATTTGGAGCAGCTTGCAACATAGAGAGCAGCAATAAAACTGGATGTGTTACTCAGCAGCCCAATGAGAAAACCTTTTGCCCCAAATGCTGAAAAGGCAGATTCGTCACACCCACAGGTGTCATGTCCTTCAGCAGCAGTGCCTTTGGCCAACCTTGGAGCAGAATTTAATGGGCTCTGGAGATAATCCCCTAGAGTTATCCTCAGCTGAAAGAAGGTTGAGGCTGTGGGGGAGAGGGGTTCAGAGCAAATGGACCTAGCTCACATTAATGGGCTTAGATCTTGCAAAGGTGTTTTTTATTTCTTTGGTATGACCTTGCCCCTCTTGTGTTCAGCAACAAAATCCACTATGGAAGTGGATAGACTGGGTCTAGTCTAAGCTATTTCACCAACTGGTTTTATGCTGTTATGTTTGGTGGTGATCACTCGTTTTCACGTATGGAAAATTTTCCAGAGGCATCTCACAGAAGAATAACTTACTTGTTCTTAATGAGCTGGTTACTGGAAAATCCTCTATCTAAAGTGAGACATCTCTATTTGCTTCTTATAATACTACAAATCCATCTTAGTATCAGCCACTGGCCCACAACCTATTCAATGTAAGTAACACATGAACCTGCAGAATACCATGTATTTGTCTTTTGGAAACTAAATTAACCCCCTCTGTCTTTGCCAGAAAGCAAAAAGAGAGAGCAATTTGCTGACCTCCTGGTGCCAAATATATTGTGAAGATAAATACACAAAATCTCTTTTCAGGAACACAAGTGGCATATTTGGCAAGGAAGGACAGTCTTAAAAGTATGTTTGTGTGTAGCAAGTTCACAGGAGAGGCAAATTAACTAGTCCCTTGATGTAGTCACTCATTGAAAGTAACTTTCCTTGCCATATTAGTCATAGCTGATAGTAAGGCCCTTTACCTGTTAGAAACAACTCTATTCACACATCTCCCCTGAGTTTGAAGAGGCTAACACTACACTGCCTGTCCAAAGCAGTTTAGTCATTAGTGTGCAAGAGAAGGGGGGTTGTTAGCCCCACTTCTGTACCATTGGAGAAGCCCTAATTCAAACACCAGAATCAGAATCATCACTGATTGGTTGTGTCTTTGGCAAAGGAAAAATTAAATCCTGCTCCAAAAAAGGCCTCCATCTTCAGGCATAATTATGTAGTATTTGTGCTTTATTCTAGTGCTTAATCTAGGGCTTGCAATGTGTTCTATTATTCCAGGGTTACGTTTACATTAGAAGTCAGAATCTGGGCAGCATTCTATTGAATGTCACAATCGCAACATATCTAAGATCGATCTCATTATTTCCATTTTACATTACAACTATTAATACTGTTTTGTTTCCCTTTGAAATCAGGAAGATCAGTACTTGTTTCTCCATTTCTGTTAATAATTCCCCAAATAATATTCTGTCAATTGACTGGCATGAGTGATTTGTTGCTTAAAGTATTATTCTTATGACAAAGTGAGCTCTTACACCATTTTTCTTTTACAAACATGTCTGACCTTGTGGGAATTTATTAATGGTTTAATTTTATATTTTTCTTCTTTTAAACACTTGTCATACTGCAGTTATCTACATTCTTGGGATAGATATTAATGTGTTTCTTGCCTGTGAAATCTCAAAATAAATTATAATTGTAACAAGCAAACAAAAGAGGTTATCATAAATTAGAGCATTATGCATTTATACAGCTAGGTTAGATGATGCATTGGTTAGGAAGCAGTTGATTTTAACATGAGAGAGTTCTTCTTTGTTTGAAGCTACAGGGGGCTTTTTGTTTGCAAAAAAGTTTTCAAGAAGGCTCTCACAGACCTCTCAGTGGAGTTCGACATATAAGGGCCGAGTGGCACAAGCTTCCTCACACAGTGAACTCTTTAGGGCAGGGACCATTTTGGTTTACATTTGTATAGTACTTGGCGCAGCAGTACCCTGTCCTAGTGTCCTGCTATGTGTCTCTTGGGTAGAAAATCCAGATAGAAAATTTTTGCATGGTTATAAAGGTTGTTCTAGAAGACAACAATGAAAAGGGGTTTGGAAACTGGTGTCCTTACTAGGCTGGAGAGTTGAGGTGCACAGCGAATATAAATCAGAACTGGCAAACTTGCCCTTTTTTATATCAGTTTGCACTGCTCTTTTTTTTGGCCAGATTTAGTACCATGTGACTGTATAGACTGAATAGGAACTACTTAATAAAGGCTCAGGTTGTAGTGATGGTGTAGCTTAGAAAATGCCCAGAGTTTGTATTGCTTTGCGTGACAGCACTTTTTTTCTTCCTAAGTGTCTTGGCAGCATAAAGAGTTGGTAATCTTGTTAGCAGTAATGCCTTAACAACTTTCTTGTGACTTAACATAACTCCTAAATCTTCCTATCAGTTGTGCAAGCCTGTATCTGTCAGTCTAACTAGGATCTGCCCTGACTTTTCTGATTTCTTTTTAATTAACTTTGAGCAAGAGTTTTCTGTGTAATTAACACAACTCTATGTACTGCTGAAAGTAGATGGATTCTGGAGCTTAAAAAAGCTTCTTGAGAA